GAAAATATTATTGACTTCTTTGTCTTGTATTCTTAACTTTTCATCTTTAAAAACGCTAATAACTGAGTGTACTTACTGATATTAATAGCCATTACGTGATATTGTACTCTTTAACGTAGAGTCGTGGTTCCAAAGACTACTTGGTTTCTCCTCTGACTTGCCAGAAAAGTAAGCAAACAAAACTTTTTCCAACATGGAATAAACGTTTTTTTTTCACACCCATCTTTAAAAAATAGTCACCCTCATATTTCTTTCTAGATTTCTTGGGTAACAATATTTCTATAGCAGCATTTGCTGCTATTTCTATTTCCGAATCAGAATTATATTCACTTATGTGAAAGTATGCACCAAGTGTGTTTCAATAGTTGTCCTTGTTGAGAACAGTTTGCCACTTAAAGGAAACAAATATGAATTCTAAATAAGACGTAAGACAAAATTTCACATTAAATCTAACATTTATTTTACAAAGTGGACAAACCGTTGTACGATATGCCGTAACATCTGATTACAATACTCAATGTTGTACGATATGTCGATACTCCACTGGTTACCAAACTTGGCCTGACGGCCTCGTTTCGCAATTTTCCAATATCGTATTGTAATCAGAATCTTTACGACACTTACGTACACTTATATCGTAAATAACTGTTAGTTAACTTTCGCCAATTATTATATTTCAAAATTCATTCAAATCTTAATCCGACAGAATTATTTCCATTCTCAAACCAACTACAAATACACTAATCTAAGGTAACCACATAATCTTCAAAAACCACATACGTTCTAGAAGTACACACAAGACGAAAAAGAACATTTCAAAACTACATTTAAAATATTACAAATTCACATCCTGTAACGTACCTCATACTTTTCATAATTTTTTTGCGCCTTCAATACCACTACTGTTTTCATACTTGTGTTTCTTAAAACCTGTAAGTGAATGCAACTGTTGACATTCTAGGATGTGCTACTGCGTTGCTATGGAGCAATCTTGTTTGTCACGTAAATTATTCAATACACAGGACTATAACAGGAATCACTTAATTGTACTTCTGGAGTTGTTTTAGTAGATTTCCATTTTGCCTCCCCCCTTATTTAAGCAGCTAATGCCTATTTTTGGCATCTTGCCTTATTTGCGTCTTTCTGACTTTTTCGTTATTCTTTTTCCTTTTCCCTCCCCTGGCATCGACCTTTATCGAACTGGAATCATACCTCCAAGCCTGGACAACGTGAAAGGAACGCGCTTGTATTGTCTCTCTATGAACGTGAAGTCTTCAATGCCAGGTGTTAAAAGTCTAAAAGGGAAAGGAAATCAATATCCATGAAGATTTTTGATATTTTTCGTTGATATTGACAGACTTGTTCGCTCACGAGATATCTCCCCCTATGTTTGTGTACGGCCTCTGATCCCTTTCGAGAACAGAGCTGTCTGTACATGATAAACCCTTCTCAGTTCCTTCTTGTTCTCTCTTCCCTTCTGGCGATTACACAAGTGTGAAAAACGAAAACTATAATAATCTTAAAATCTACTCGTTACTATCAAAGGACGATTCAGAAAGTGGTGCTAGTCCCTGCAAACTCTTTGTATTTTGGAAAATTGCAAAAAGTCAATATTTAACATTGAAAAGGTACAATATTGAAGACATTTTTTATTCAAATTAAATCGGTTTAAAAAAATCAGTTCTTTAAAAAGGCCATTACAATTTTTTGGGAAAAACAAACCCAACAACAACAAACATAGTTTTCGCGTAATTTCTCCTTGAAATAAATACAAATTATTAAAAGATCTCACAAACCGCTCCATTTCATTTCGTGGATAGAACGAAGTACAGAGGCTGAAAAATTACGCAGCTCACATTTCCGTTGAACACACTGAATTTTCGAAAATTGCAAATTTAGAAATACGTACTGTGTTGTAGCACCGTTAGTTTCCTAAATGTAATCTGTTGTCTAGACACCTTAAAAGAAGAAATTGAACAGTTTTTTTTTGAAATATATGAACATTTAGCGTAATTTTGCGTGAAATATGGGCAATTCTTAACTCTTCACTAAAAAAGTCTCACATTTTTATTTTATTTTTTTCCTCTCATAGGTATCAAAGGACGGCAAAATATAGATGCTGGTCCAATTTTCGGCAAAGTGTATTTTCGAGATTTGCAAAAATATCAACATTGTAAAAGTACAATATTAGTAATACACGTTTTACTTTCCCTTATGCGTACGTATATGCGGAGTAATATACGGAGCATAGGGAAAGTTATGTAATGCTGCACAAAATCGATTTCGATATTTTAATACACGTTTTGGGGTCCCCTGATACCGAAAAAGTGTTTGCTTTTATTATTATTATTTAACGTGCGTCTCTCTGGTGTATGTGAACAACACTAGCGCCTAAACCATATGTAAGATTTTTTCCAAATTGAAGAAACTCCTGACCATTTGGCCTGAGTCGAAACTCTGCAATTTTGACCATTTGACCGGAGTCGAAACTCTGCAATTTTGACCATTTGACCGGAGTCGAAACTCTGTAATTTTGACCATTTGACCGGAGTCGAAACTCTGCAATTTTGAAAATCATTCCTTTGTTTTTGGGGGAACTTTACATGAAGCCCCTGGGACATTTTCAAAATTTTCTCAAAAAGAGCTCCAATTTTTTTTCTTTAAATTTCTTGCAAGAATAATTGTGAAATATAGTTATGAATGTGGCATAGATCCGATTTTCAGGTTTAACTGTATTTTCGAAAGCTTCATAATTTTTCAGTCTTCTTACAACTACAAAATTGAAGATAGAGATTAAATAAAATTTATTCATAGCGCGTTCTTTCATTGAGGTCATGTACTTTTTTTTTTAATGTTTGGTAGTTTTCGCGCAATATTACGAGCAATATGTGCATTAAAAAAATACAAAAGCAAGATTTTTCCCAAAATGTCTCCAAATTTTTTCTTTGAACTTTTGGTAGGGATTGTGCTAAATGCATTTCATAAGATGAGATAAACGCCATACTACTCTATTCTTTTGTTTTTTCAAAAATTACAAAATTTTAATTTTTTGACTCGTCTCTCGCGTCTTTAATATTAACATTATAGCAGCAATATCTTTACAAAAATGTATTTACGAGGACATGTGCTTTAAATAATGTGAGATAACGTTTCCGGAAACAAGTTTTCCGTGAAAATGAGCTCAAAATTCCGCATTTCTAAAACGCTAAAACACCATTTTCACAAAAATGGTTCCTAATGTTTTCTTCGAACTTTTTCAACAGGTAGTGCCAATTGCACGGTTTAGGACGACACATACTTAATTTATTAATTAATTATTCATATTTATTAAAAAGTACACAAATTTATTTTTTTTAAAGATCTCTCAGACCTTTAATTTGCGCATTTTCAGCGATTTGTAAATACTATTGCATTTGTGATTGGACATGCTTGAAATGACGCCATATGAAGTTTTCGAAAACTCGATAGTTTTCTGTGAAAAGTGGTTCAAATTTCGAAATTACACTAGCGCTTAAATGCCAATTTCTTAAAAATGGCTGCAAATTTTTCAATGAAAATTGCGATTTGGGACGAGATTTTATTGTTCTGTAATATTTTTAAAGTAATAATTCGATTCTACTATTAGGAACCGAAAAATTAGGAATATTTTTAAAAAAATGGACATGGGACGATGGTGGATGGCAGTGGGCTAGTGCGAATAGCTAGCCGAGGCCAGTGGAAATAGAAAAAAACTAATTCCGGAACGTCTGTGCCATTCTATAGCACCACTAGTTTTTAAATCAAATCTATTTTAAACATCTATGTACAATTTTTTGAAAAACTAATAGCTTTTGCCTAATTTCAATTTGAAGCTAATGCAATTTATAAGAAAACAAACGCTTCAAATTACTTCCTCTGTAAGAATGAAGGATACGATTTGCCAAAGCTCCCACATGGAAGGTTCGATATTCGGGGAATTCTCATTGTTAACGTTTTATTGTTGGACGTAATGCTCATTGCTTATGGAAACCCAGTTGTGGATTGTTGAATTTGTGTTGTTGTATTAGCTTTAAAATAATTACTTTTTGAATCTAATGCACTCTTTTTAGCCCAACAAAACTGTCATCGGACGCGTTTGCAGTGAGAATCCGGGAGGTTCCGTAATATTCGATGGCGCCCAGAAGAAAAATAACACGATAACTTATTTGAGACAAGAGCACTGTTACGTGAAATGAAAAACTTAAGAGCTTGGAGATTGCACGCTCTCTTTGGCAGTGGCCCCGCCAAGAGCCTAGTGTTTACAAACAACCGGGAAAACTATTCGGGCCCGGAGCCACCGCGTCCGCGGCGGAAAACCCGCGCGTCAACACAGCGCGCGAGCGGAAGGCGCTCCGGCGCGGTTTTGGGAAACGCGTGGCGCGATCGAGCAGGTGGCCTACGTGACGGAGCCCACGCGCCATGCGGCCTCGGGCACGGCTCCAGCGCTCGATACACTGCAGGGCGGCACCGGGCTGGGCAGCTCCCTTGGCGGAACTGCGCGGCACCTCAAGCGAAAGCGCATGCGTCGCTGGAACGGACGCCGGCCGCATACGACGCCTTTTGCCTCGCGCAATCGTATTTCTGATTACGTCTAATGTAACTCCCAGATAACGTACAACAATTCGAACCCTTTTACCCAAAAACAGTATGCGACAACCAGAATGGAGCTCAGGACACTGAGTCAATTATCTTCCGAAAAACTATTTTCCCACTTCGATCGCAGCATTCTCAACGTCGGAGCGGGGACACCGCAGGCGGGGTGCCTGCGTCCGAGGGGAGAGAAGGAATAGCGGGCGGGACGGCCGCGTTACGCCCTTGGTGCTCGAACGGCGCGCGGCGTTGCCGCCGCGGTGGAGGCGGGCGCGGTCCGAGGCGCGCGCGCGCGGCCATTGGCTGCGTGGCCCCGCGCCTGCACGCGGCCGCCGCCAGAGCGCAGGGTAAGCGGCCGCCAGGCAAGACCACAACATCGCGGGCGTGTTGGTGGCTGCCAACAGACGCCGCGTCGACGCCACGCCGCACGTATCGAGCCACACGCAGAGGTCGCCTACGGCCTGCCACAGCAGCGGGAGTCTGAGTCTTTGACAGCGACGTTTCGTCTATCGTAGCGATCAGCAGTCGCCATGGACCTCGTGTTCAACGCCCTGCCCGACGTCTTCACGTACCAGAGCCTGCGCCACGCCAGTTACGACGCGCCATGGCTCAACGACACCAACGCTAACAAAGGTGAGGTGCGCCGAGGCGTCGCAGAGCGAAGTAGCGTGGGCGGGCCCGGTCGGCACGTGTTGGGTACTCAGGCGGCCGGGTACATCGCGGGTAGCCGAGCGAGGCCGCGAGAGTGTGCGGGCGGTTCGCTGACCGCTGACGCCCTGCAGTCGCGCGGTTTATGGCCGCGCGTTGGCGCGCAACGGGGGTCGAGCCCGTTAAGTCCCTGTGTCCGATGACGCTCGGCTGCACCGTTCCTGTCACCTCACAATAGTCCAGGACTCGCCAACAGCCAAGAAGGTTCCTTATATTCCGTCACAAATACCAAAATGTAATAAACGCCATAAAAATCTACGAAGGCCCGAGATTTACATTAGACCACATTTGGCACTGATAGCAATGACGACGAACTTCAAATTCATCGTTTCCGCACAAGGATTTCTTAGCACGCCGGACGGGATGCTTAGTACGTCTCGCCGAGACGGCGGATGGCCCCGCCCACACGCACGACCGTGCGTGGCCTGCTGATAGAATTGATCACGCGAATATAATGGCACCGCCGGAAGCTCCTCTTAGTCTGTTTAAGCCTCTTGCTCCTGCGTGACCCGAGTGCTCAACGACCCATTTGCACGACCTTTCTCGGCAACTGCCCCGCCACCCAGTCGCGGGTCGCTGCGAAGATGTTCTCTGCGACGGCAGGGCTAGGTTCCGCTTGTGTATCCGTGCCGCGCCAAGACCACACCCCTCGACGACTTGCTGGCGTGCGTGACGTCACGGCACTCTCCGGCCAGCTGGCCTCGACGTGACCCCGGCACGGGGATCCGCTTCTGCATCATAGGAAAGCACGCGGCGATTGCCTCTGCCCCCCCCCTTCCTTGGCCTTTTAGCGCCCTCATAGACGAGACGGACGGACGGACGTCGCAAGAGGCAGCGGGCGTGAAGGGCCGCAGACGGGAAGGCAGCGCTGATAACCCCACAAGCGATGAGCTGTGCGTTAATGCGTTAGGTTTGTCTAAATTTTCATGTCGCGAATGATGTATTCAGCGTTTATTCAGCACGTGATGCATTACGAGGGAATTATGAAGGATTACGATGCGCCGGTGTTCTCAGTGCCCTATTCTCGCAATAGGCACATTTCCTGTTACCTTTCCATTGTTTTACCACCTCGTGCATACTATTTTTAGAGTTTCCGGTTTCAATATGTAGAAATGATAGTCTCGTAAATGTATTTGGCATACACTTTAGTTCTCCAACTACGTGTTACACGCGTAGTATATTGTTTTCAGAAGTATCTAATACGTGACGCCAACACTCCTCAATGGATGTGGCCCTAGCGGAGATAAAGAACACGCGGTACAAAAGTACGAGACTGCTTTTCCGAACGCTTTGCACCATATATTCTAGAAAAACGAAAAGATTTTAATGTATAAATATTGCACTTCATATTCGTGTATTAAATTTACAATTTAATGTAATATCTAGTAGTATTTAATTTTGATTCATCTTAGCATCCAATGTTGTTAGTATACGCAGTGTAACGAGCGAAGGCTTAAATCAAATGAAGCGCGGCATTTTGCAGTTGAAAACTAAGATTGTAAATAGTAATGAGTGCCAACAAATGTTCACCAAACAATACTGAATTATAAAGATTGTGGGACCTGAGAACGAGTGTTATTATACAAATCAAATAATAATCACAAAGAACTCTGCACTTACCATTTGCCGTTATATGCAATGTCGAGTAATATTGTAACTTTTACCAAGAAACGCTGAGGCACAAACTTTAAACATCTACAGGACAGCAAACTCCTTGAAACTGATTTTTTAAATGTTACTACAAACATATTTTCAATTGTCGAGCGGCTTGAGTCGCAACAATAAGCAATCGCAACCATTGTTGTCTGTTTTTAGACACGCTAAAAGCAACTCAACGAATTAATCGTCCAAAATACTTGGTGAGAAGGTTAACTTTGTGTTGACGAGATACGCAGCACTTTTTCAAGAATGTTCAAAAAATATATTTTAAATATAATTCAGGTGGGGAAAAGATAACAAAAAACGTTCAGATGACCAAGACGTTTGTACATCTAAATTTCGGGAAAGTTTAAGATAGACAATCGCGGAAAAAATGGGAAGTACCATCGTTCAAGAAGTCAACAATGAAAGTTAGTTTCCAATATATCTGCATGTACCTCAAGGTATGAAAATAAACTGCAAAAAATTTAAGAAATCCCTCCTCAAATTCATCGATGCATTAGTTTGAAACCACCTGTCAGAGAATTTCCGTTAAGACCTTTGTCGCGCATCTCGTACAAATAAGAGAATTCTTCAAAGTCCTCCTGACGAGCATCAGTATACTCATTGGAGTTTATTTTCATACTACGCACCTCTAAAAAACATCGGAAACCTCGTTGAAAGTAAACAAACCCGGCGCTAGAGGGGAGGGGGAGCGCCGCTGTTTGCAGAGGTTATTTTGGAGGAGTGAATGCATGCGCGGGAGGCGCGGAAAGCTGCGCCTTATTCGGCGGGCGGCGGCGGCGGCAGTAGCAGGAGGAGCGGCGCAACGCGGGCTGAAGGGCAGCGGAAACTGCGCAGGAACCACGCACAAGGGTGGGGAGGAGTGGGGAGGGAGGCGCGACCGGCGGAGCGTGTGGTCGCTGCGCCGCCGGGCGCGCTCGAACACCAGCCATAAAAACAACTAAACAGGGAAGCCTTATAAGGTTCTAGGTTTGAATTTCCAGACTATAAGTCGCCGGTGTCCGGAAGACCTACGAATTATTTCCAGTTCCATTATTCTCGTACTACTGGGAACAGATTACAAGGAGGTTCGAACTCCTGACGTGAAAAAGACTTGTTTAATTTTCCAGTTTACTTTCAAACATACAAACGGTGAAATTGGAAACTTTTTGAAGGTGTATCTGAAACACTATTGAGTAAAAAATTTTAACAATGTAAATATTAGCGTACAAAATTTTATTTCGCATTTATATTAAAAATTAACCAGTTTTGCGACACTAAATTAAACGATATCAAGATGCATTATGCTATTTAGAAAGATTTTCATTTTTGAATAAAGCATTTCTCAGGTTTGTCGATTCTCTGAAAATGCGTTAGTCCTCAATAAAACTTTAAGCTGACTTGCTTTATCAGTTAGTCCTGCTCTTGTGTAGAGATTGCAAAGTTTCTCATCGCAAAGTGTTTGTACACATGCATACCTAAAGATACAATCTATGGTTACGCACGCGCACATATACATAGAAAGCGAAGATATGTTGCGAGGCAAGCAGAAACGCAAAATAGTTTTTGGTCTGCGAGCCAAGCTACGCACGCGCTTAGTTGCGGTCGCCTAACTTAATTGTCTTATTCTTCCACACACCTTTATCTGCGATAACCTTAATTTAAAGACACTAGAACTTCGCTTGACAGCGCTATCTTTTATTTGATGTCTCCTTGGGATCGAGGTCGCGAGCCATATAAGTTGCCTTCGCCACACCCTCCTCGGAGAGATCTTCTCAAATGATAACACTACAATAAGAGCGAAGCTCAAAAATATGTTGTGGCAGATTTTATATTAGATAAATCCATCACAAAAAAGAAGCTACAATTGGAATGATGGCGTAAATTCTCCCGAATAATTAAATATGACGCACAACATGCGGAATGGTTTTAAATTTACACTTCAAAAATTATTTCTAAGAAGATGTAATGGAATTTTAAACGATAAAAAAGTTCGAATAAAAGACAATTTAAAATGAATAGTTAAACAATGTACACCATTTTAAGAGGGAAAATTTTTCGTTCCTTCTTGGTGAACGCAATTACAAGCTACAAATCTCTCCATGGTGTAAATTTTCACGTTTGCGACTTACCTTACAACTAAGTTGCACGATATAACTCGCAATGAATCGAAGCTGACTAAATCATACCTTCATGATCAACTTTTCATTTGGAGGATCATTATCAATTCTGAGAAGTGTGGAGACGGAGACGAATGATTCTGCCATTCTTCCACACGTGCTAAGCAAAGAGTAAACAAGGTAGTAAACAACGCAGGGTCAAGATACACAAGGTGCGGGGCGCAGCGCATTGGGTCCAAACGGGCGGAGTGTGTTCATAAGAAGGATCTCTTGAAGTGCGAGAATCTTGAAAACGGAAAAGATAATGATCGAGTAAGTCATGACGTTATTTTAAATAAATAAATATTTCAAATAAAACTTTTCAACAGCACTTGGAAGTCGACAAACACTATTTTTCTCTTTTCTGAATTTATAGTTTATCTCGACGAATCAGCGTAAAAGTGAACGCCGGAAAAGACGAAATCTTTGGAAAGTCTTGAAAGTAGGTTCACAGAAGGATAGTATCAATATTATCAACAAAAAAATAATAGTATCAATAATATAATTGGACACTGGCTTGTAAGGAAAATAAATGTTCGAAAACAAAACAAAACAGAAAAGACAAAAAACCGTGGTATGTTTTCCCAACATTTTCATTTCACAAGACGTGCATTTCAAAGCCTTCTGTTTGCATGGAAGATGCGGGAAATGGGGCCACGTTGGTCCGTGACGTCATTCGCGGCCACTGCGGCGCAGGCCGTCGACCTCCCCTGGGAGCGCCCAGGACACACGCGCCCACCTATCGGCCAAGTCGCGGGAATAAAGCAAGGAGGCATCGCCACACGATATGGTCAGAGCCGATAATGCTCGTTCCTGAGGCGCTACCTAGAGCGGCATTCCGCCCTCTGGAAAGCCTAGGTTTTTCACAACTGTATACATAATTCCTCGTCAAGCTAATTTCGTTAAAGTTTTTTGAACGTTTTAAATGACGCGACATTTAATAGTAGGCTAGAACTCCGATGAAGCAGTTATGAAACCGCATAATTCAGATTCTGCGCAGTAACTAGAAGTTCTTTATGGAAAACCAAACAAAACGAAGAACATCCAGGAAGTAATCACGGCCGAAGATTGTTCGGTAAGCAGGCTGCAATTCGCACGAGACTGCGAAACCAATCGCAACAACAC